TGCGACTGATTGATTCACTGCTTGATTTCATGAAAACATTGAAAACATAACTGATCATAGGAGTACTGTATTTTACTTTTATTTTACTACACAGTGAAGGAGAAATAAAACAGTTTCTTCAGGAGTGCACAAAGCATCAAATGCTAGTCATTCCTTTGGTGCAAACCTTTGGTCATCTAGAGGTACGTACAATTCGCAGTTAAAAGGCTGTTGTTACTAGGGATACGATGGGACAAACGCCCGCAAAGCATTGCAGGGTAAAAATGTAATGTTGTAAACTCGTTGTAAAAATCAAGTAAAAAGTTTAAAATGTCATCCCGTGATTATTTTCAGTCAAGCTACTGAACAGGTTTAGTTTATGGGAATTAAAAAGAACGGATTGTATAAACTCTCAATAGATTCAAAATCTTTTGTAGGTATGCTACTAGTAGTTTGACATCTCAACTCGGATTTAAGAATTATAAACAGAGAAAAAATGACCCAATATTAAACGAAAAAAAAGATGTCGTCGACAAGATGACGGACAAACTCTAATATTGAAATTCTAAAATGGAGTATTATATATATATTTTGAAGTCTTTTTACTTCGCTTTGCAGTATGTTCTCAAACACCCTGTGTTTGCCGATTTAAGAGAAACCAAGAGATATACAAACTCAATCTGTCCAGAGAACCCAAGTGAGTCTTTATAGAGATAATACAATGAATAATCAATGCTGTCTACTAGTGCCTGATACGGCCGCCATCTTGAATTTAACTGCCTTCATCGTCGTTCAAAAACCTTTTCAATCTTTTGTTGTTTTTTTTTTTTTTATCAATAATCTCTTTGATCATTGATAAAAAGATGCTTTCTGATTGGATCATAGCAAAAAATGGCGAATTTTCGCGGCAAAGATTCTTGGATACACATAGGCCTTATGAGACGTCCAACGTCATTTAACGCGATTAAATTCTATATACGAGTAGAACCTAAGTTTGGTATAATTCAAAACAGCAACCATATCGAATAATCAAGTTAAAAGATAAAACAACTGTATGTATCTAGAGTGCAAACACTAAAGCGTGAAAAAGTACTAGAGTGAAGTCAAAAATCCCGTGAAATAGATCTTACAACAGTCACGCACTCGACTGCGTCTCGTGCGTACTTTTTTGTTCTCACTACATTTTAACGTCATCTGTGTATCTATTAGAGTACACACGCACGGAAAAATGAGATCTATTTGTTAAATCTGTCCCTTAAAAAAATGACTTTTCTATAAAGTATTCAAGTTTAGATGAATATTCAAACGTTTTTACGACTGCTCAATCGTTTCAGATTCTCTGATTTTAATCAAGAAGATGATCGATCAAATTCTACAATTGCATCCTGGATCATCATGGCTGCATGTTGGCGGTGATGAGGTAAGTCACAGCGTCACACTGTCATTGAAAAATTTCCAAAAAATTCTTCAAAAACAATTCAAACTGTTTGTTAATTTTCAAACAATTATAGCTCAGCATGAAATTTAATGTTTATAATGATACTGTTGTAAACGTAAAGCAAAATCATTAGCTTTGAGCTCAATTCGACACTAAAAGTTACTGTCCGCCATGTTGGTGCACCAGATTAGGACATCGTCAAGGCGTTTTTTTTAAGTAAGATCATATTCAAGCGCATATATATTTTTGCTTTTTTAGCTTTTTTAGACTATCACGTGATCAGTTAAATCCAAGAATACTTTCAGTGAGAACTTTCCAAAAAAAAATGAATAAATAAAATAAATAAAAAATAATAATACAAAAAATAAAATCAACTTAAAACTGTTTGTTAACTTTTAAGGTCTGGAACCTCAAGACTTGTTCAACATGTAAAAACAGCAATGAGTCCAATTCCGACATCTTTCTTGGTCACATGATTCCAGTTTTAGAATACGTGAAGCAACACAGTAAAACACCTATCATGTGGGATGATATGATGAGAGACTGGGACCTAAACAAGCTGATCAGTAAGTAACGGGAGATAACTTCTCAAAGCATGACGGGAAATATAGCCTTTGCACTTATGTCCTCTATTTGGTCAATATTTTGTTTGCACGCTAAGAATTAGTGAATTACGCTAATATATTTGTTTTCTACCTACAAAACATAAAACGGATTTCCGCGTTTGATTTCCATTGCCCTGAAATGTCCATTATTTTGTCAATACTTTATTTGCACTCTTTTTGCACTCAAATAATTAGTGCTAAGAAATATTGAAATACGCTAATTTATTTGTTTTCTACCTTCAAAATATAAAACGGATTTCCGTGTTTGATACTCTGATTAAAACGAGTAGAATGTACGAAGAACACGAGAGAAACGTTTCCAGCTTCTCAAGTTTTTCTCCGTATTGTACAACCATCATTTTACAATGTCTAATCTACACTATTTTCTGCTATTTTAACATTGTTTGGTTAGTAATTTTCACTATTGTTTTGTTGATATTACCAGGAATGGGTCAATTGGCGGAGCCAATGTTATGGGGGTATCGAACTCCATTAAGTCAACATTTTCCTAAAGGTATCAGTTTACACTGAAACAAAATGCATGCTTTTAACTCTGTACAGTTCATGGAAATATCATGGAAATAACAAGTCACACTTAAATATTTACACGCTACATATAT